AATGTAGAAAGATTTATTTTCAATTGATGTCAAATTAACACTTTCAAACCAAATGAAGATTAAATTAAACATTACCTTCACCAAATATACATATTTGTGTTTTTAAACAACACAACAGTGCAACAAATATTGATATAGAAGCTGTAAGACTTTACAAAGTAGTCTTAGTTACTTATTCTATTCCTAAAATGGCTATATATTCTATAGCGTACTCATATATTTAAAAATATAATGTCTATATTTTCACCTACTGTATTCTATTCCTATACTCCTACTGTGCTGCAGCACCTCTTTTCACCCTCTGTCTGAAACCAGAGCCCAGTGAGCTCTGATTGTTTATTAAATTGTCTTTCAATTCAACTCCGAACTGAAACACAACCGGGCGAAAATCATTGATTTAACAAATGTAGAAGCTGTTGATCTGTGACCTCAGAACACAGATCAGGATCAATGAGGCTAATCGACAAATTGACCACTGTTGAACCCTCGTAGAGACATGTGAGCTGCCTGTGCGTGTGTGTGTGTGTGTGTGCGTGTGTGTGTGTGTGTGTGTGTGTGTGTGTGTGTGTGTGTGCGTGTGTGTGTGTGTGTGTGCGTGCGTGCGTGCGTGCGTGCGTGTGTGTGTGTGTGTGTGTGTGTGTAAGCTGGGACACCTCGGCCTCATCATTACAAAGCTGTGTATTAGCTTCCTCTGCTGCTGCCCAACTAAACCCCATGTTCAGAAATCAGAAATAAAACACGTATTTTTGCAAAAACATGTTGCCTTGTGTAACTTTAGAGCCACATCTGAGTCAGGACTACCTATAGGGGCTGAGAGAGGCACAATAATGAGTTTATAACAGGATTCCCTGCATTAAATGTAGGTCTGCACTGGCAATACGTGGCGCAGTAGGATTGTTATTACCTACAGATGCTGGTTCTGTGGTGGCGATTATTTATTTTAACATGTAGAAGACACATATCTTTATAAGAGTAGTTTTTGCCAAATATTACAGAGTGTGAAGTCTGCTTGTTTGTTAATATTTATAACATTTCATATCTTTAAATATTTACATTTAATCATGCTTGTGCCTATTGTTTTGATGCTGCTTTCTTTTATTACTGCATGTATAATTTGTTTTAATGAACGTCACCACGAAAAGCCAAGCAAAAATTCAAATCACATTCACTCAAGTATTTTTACATTATGCAACTTTTACACTTCTTGAGGGCATTTTAATTTAATTTGTACTCCTCTACATTATTTAACAGCTTTAGTTACTATAGCTACTTTGCATATATAGATTAATAATACAAATGACCTAATAAATCATAGGTTAAGATACCCAGCAGTATATCCAATTAAACCCCACCTTAAAAGCACAACATTGACATTAATGCATTACAACTTAAAACACAATCATGTAACATGTGAAAAGGGCCATTCTGCAGAGTGAGTACTTTTATATGTTGGTGCTAATACTGTTGTACTATTACTTGAGTCAAATTTAGATGAATTCATTTGAGTTTATTTACAATGTAATGACAATATTTGAGTACGTAATCTTTCTCCGATTGAACCAAATGACAACAATGCTCATCCTATTCCATTTTCTATTCATCCTGTAAGCTAAATGTATGTTATTGCAGTGTTACCTCAGGACTCAGCAGGTATCAGCACTGCAGACTAATATACCCCCTCTGTGTGAGTCTCTCTTAACACTTTAGCAGCCAACACTTATTTCATAATTAGCCTACCGTATTTCCCACACAGTTCGCACCTTGCAGCATGTGCTCTGTTCCGCTCAACATGTGCGCGGTTTAATCCGCATTAGTGTTTTTTAACATGACTGTTTAACCAACATGATTGTGTTTAAAATGTGCACCATGACAATAACAACACCCTCAGTCCGGCAGAAACAGAAAGGTATAGGCGCATGAGGAATTATGTAACAACGCTTTATTTGAGCCTATTAGTGTAAACCCCCGAGGCTTTAGGGTTAGCAAACACACCTTCTGTTAACCATGTAAATCACATTATACCGCATTGTGCCTCTTTATATTAAGATATACAGGCTACATGCCGGTAAAATGACACAGTTGAGGCAGTGTGTGAAGGATGAGCCTGCTGGGAGACCCACACACTCACACGCACACATATACCTATCGTCGTTTCACACCGAGCCCCCCCCCCCCCACACACACACACACACATTAGCAGTTTGATGAATGTGGTGCATGCTTACCTCCGACTGCAGCCCACAGGAACACTGCGGTTATCAGAACTCCCATAGGATCCGTAGAGAGAGGTTCCTGCAGGAGATAACCTTGAAATATAACGGGCTTCTTCACACACACCCGCCGAGCGAGGTGGAGCCTGTGTGTGTGTGTGTGTGTGTGTGTGTGTGTGTGTGTGTGTGTGTGTGTGTGTGGTGTCAGGTGACTTGAGACCAGATCAGAGCCAAAACCCTGTTAATGTGCCCATGATGTCAGTTGGTCGTCCTGTACTTACAGTGTGTTAACAAAATGATCTGATTAAAATAAACAGGAGGCAGCTGTGGCTCACGGGGGAGAGGAGCATCTACTATTACATTCAATTAAATTAAATTAAAATGTATTTATATAGCCCAGCATCACAAAACACATTTGTCTCAGGGGGCTTCACAAATCAACAAACACGAATGATAATGTAAAAACATCAAACGTATCTGAGAATATAGTAAAATTACAATCAGAGGGTCAGTGGTTCAATCCCAGTCCCTGCAAACTCTCCTTGGTCCAGATACTTAACCTTAAAATGTTATTATTTCTTTTTTCTTTATTTGTAATCTCCATTAGGTCTTTTCTTATTCAAGATTCAAGGGTTGGATTATCATGTGCACAGTAGCTACAGTATAGTTATGGCATTTAAAATCTTAGGTCCCGAGCTCCTCCAACAGTGCAACATATTATATACATGACACAGACAACAAAATAACAACATAATAATAATACTAAAACAGTGCAACACAGTACGATACATTTGAATACAAGAGTCCAGGTGAAAGAAACAGAATTAAATATTGTACAGTGAAATATAACTATTAAGATAATACATTAAATACATTCTAAAGATATCTGCTTAAAGTCCTTTCCTTCATTCCTTTGCTATTTTTGTTTATCAAATAATCTGTTATCCTTTGTTTATTTCCTGATGGTCTTTCCTTTCTTTTGCTTCCTTTTATATATTATAAGAGCACATATTTTATTTGAACACATCTCTAATATAAGTACTGTGGTTCTCCATATTTACAAAATGTATCCTCATGGTTGACTGCACTTATTGTAAGTCGCTTTGGATTAAATGACATGTATACAAATGACCTGTAATAGCAAACTGCCATGTTAGATATCCTTTTTAAAGAGGTGCACAACTAAGAAAAACACAACAAACTTCAACACAATTCCACTAAATATGCCTATTAGAATATCATTATAATTGTATATGCATAGTCCCTGCATCACCCCCTACTGCAGTTCAATCAGGAGAGACTTCATTTTGTTTAAAGAACATTTATTGACACATGTCATATGATAAATGTTAAGTCTTTGGCGATTAGACCCCGATCCTGAAATCGTATATCTAAAGGGGGAAATGCAGCCGTGAGCATATAAGGAACCCCCCGGGGTCTAGACACTGGTGATGATGCTGAAGATCTGGATTTGATGAGGAGATGGGATGAAGAGGAGGTGTGATGAGGTCTTTGGATTAGCTCTCCTGGCACTGGATATGATGAAAGGAGGTGGATGGGGAGGAGGCGGGGCGGCAGCATGACAACCTGAAATCACAGCTGACTGCAGGAGAGAGAACCATTTTAAAGTTTGGCTGCAGCAGTGATTGGCTGCTGGAGAATGAGGTGAATGTAATAGGTTAAAGATGAGCTGATTATATGCAGCTGCGGACTGAATGTATATATACCCAGTCTTCCTGAAAGAACTTGCGCTGAGCTTCATGTTAATTACTTTAGCAATAATCAATAATTGACACCTTATAACAGCTGTATAATGTAACTCACATAGAGAGGACTCACCTGCTGTATCTGCATCCTCAAGGTCACACTGACATCAGTATGTTTGCCATCGTATGAACAGTGACAGAGTAGGATAAGCAATATGTTATGGCTGTGATTTGACAAAAATGGGGCTATATGATACACATCATAGTACAGGGTTACGATTGAATGATAAGCAAGATTTAACCAATTTAAACAAATGTAAAAAAGGTGTATCCAACAATTTTTTTGTGGGAGGCTGTGGCTCAGTGGTGAGTGTGCTGGACTTCAAATCAGGGGGATAGCAAGGGGATAGCAAGGGGATACCAAGGGGATACCAAGGGGATAGCAAGGGGATACCAAGGGGATAGCAAGGGGATAGCAAGGGGATACCAAGGGGATACCAAGGGGATAGCAAGGGGATACCAAGGGGATACCAAGGGGATAGCAAGGGGATACCAAGGGGATAGCAAGGGGATACCAAGGGGATACCAAGGGGATAGCAAGGGGATAGCAAGGGGATAGCAAGTTCGAGTCCCACTGCAGTCAGCATGTCGTTGTGTCCCTGGGCAAGACACTTCACCCCAAATGGCTCCTGTGGGGATTGTCCACAGTACTGAATGTATGTAAGTCGCTTTGGATAAAAGCGTCCAACAAATGACATGTAATGTAATGTATTTATTATCTATTTACTTTGTACATTTTTGAGATACAACACAGTATACCCAAACTTAATATCGAGATAGAGAAATGTATCGAAATAGCAATTGTTAAACACTTATTGTAGGAGCCATTATTGTTTATTTATGATATGTAACGCTATCTTATTTACATATATTGTGCACTAATTTTTAGTATTGGAAATTTGGTAATGTACAACAATTCAAACTAAACTGCTCAGTGGAGAATGTGCTGTATTGTGTCTGCGTACGATCACTTCCATCTACCTGTGTGACAACCGGAGAACAAAGAGTAACATCAATATGAAAATTGCCATTACACTTATCTTTATTGGATATTCCTCATTATGATCCCCACAATAACACACATTCTTGCGTTCATTGACCAATTCCTAGTGTATAAAAGCAACAAAATAAGACATAAATATATTTACAGAGACAGGAAACTGCAGGGTCTGATCCGTCGCCTCAAAACAGTGACGCTCTCGACTCAAAAAGTCAGAGTGTGTTTCATTTAATCTGAAGAACAATGGAAATGTTTCTCAACAGACAGTGTGTGAAACATCCTGATGCACGTCTGCTTTCTGTGTGTGTGTTTGTGTCATCTGCTCTTGGGAGCGGGTCGGGGGGGTCTGTTGTGCTGGTTCGGTCCGATGTATTTCAGAGGAGTGTATTTGGGCTTCTCGATCACTTCCAGGCCCAGAAAAGGCTGCAGAGCGCGGGGGACTCGCACTGACCCCTCCTGGGGAGACGGAGAGAAAGGATGTGGGTAAACACAACATTTAAAAACACAATGGTTTTCATAATTATTAACACTTTGATTTTAAGTCAATTGGATTTAAAAAAGGGTTTGAAATAAATTAAATATTATCTTTTAAATATATATCTTTTTGTATTCCACCAATAGGGTTATAGTAAATCCCTAAGAAGTTTAAGAGTCCTTTAAAAATTCATTCTCATATAAGGCATTGTCCATTTCTATGAAACATTGTGAAAAAGGGTTCATATCTCTATGAAATAAACATGAATACATTACACATACTGCCTTTCCTTTAATGTTTGTATCACAGTGTCTTTATAAATGACACTATGAGTTTTTTTTACTATAATACCTAAATGAATAGTTTTTCTACACTTTTTCCATGCCCCATTCAAATCAAATCACAGCGCACAAAACCAAAGAGGTGAAGGAATGTGGACGTGTGTGGGCTGTTAAAGGTGGGGTAGCTAAGAATGGAGAAACCAGCTCGAGTGCGCTAGAATTTGAAAATACGCAACCGGAGAAAATCTGCCCCTTCCTTCAGACTTCCTTCCAGAGCCCCTCCTCCAACACACACGACCGCGCACATGACCAATGAGGGCACGAGATAAGTTTGTGCACGAGATGGAAGGCTGACAGGCAGGTAGGCCATCCAGTTATTTTAGCCGGGCCGGCTCAGATGATTGGTTGTGCTTTTTACAGCGCCACGGCTTCCACAGATGACATTTTTTTTATATATTTATTGTCAAAGCATTTAATATATTCATTGCTATCGGGATGTTAAGAGCATTCCATGGAATATAACAAAAAGTGTTTCTGAAGTGAATTACCTACCCCACCTTTAACACAAAGACTAAATATCTCAATGACCAAGAACTCTTTAAAGGGGACCTATCATGCAAAATGCACTTTGGTACGTCTTTTATACATGAATATGTGTCCCCGGTGTTCCAGGGAACTCACCAAGTGTCAGAAAACACAACCCTCTCTATTTTCCTCCATACCCAAATCTCTAAAAAAGGGGCTGCAACGGATCTGATAAAAACTGATCCAGATTTGAACACTGTCCTGACGTCAGGACAGTGGCGCTACGGCTATTGGGCCAACTCCACCAATCAGGAGGAGACAGCCACGGCCATTGCCGTTCGAAAGCGCTGGAGACGCTGTAGTACATTTGCCAGGCCTCTAGATGGTGCTGTTCTCACTGAATCAGCCCTTGCAAAAACAGGGCTAAAAATATTTATTTATGTATTGCCTCGGGAAAATGTAAAACTGATTAGAAATGGCAACTGCAGTATTACTACTAGATCATTATTTCAGCATTTCTTATAAAATGCATGACTGACAACAATCACAAGGGGGAGCCACTTCAACACAGGTGCACGCAAAGATGTGAAATAGTGTAGTTTTGATAGAAAACACAAAAATAGAAGATGAAACTACTCAGATATTTTTCTAAAGATTATTTTTTTTACTCATAATATTTCAAACTTTGTCTGAAAAAGCATCACATTTTGAATTTTTAGGATGTGTTGTTATGAGCATGGGTTAATGCATAACAACTAGATTTATCAACGTTCACAGCTAGTAGATAATGCAGGGACATGAATACAAATATATTATTGAGGCCTTTCTTGACGGCTATTATGGATAATATACCATTTTTAGCATAACGTAAAGCAACCATTCCACAAAATGCCTCGACACAAATTGTGTTTCTCATTTCTTTTCAACACAAATCATTTTGTCCAGGACATTTCAATCGTTGTTGTAGTTTTCCATGACTTTTTGCATTAAATAATCCAGGTTTTTGGCATCCTCTCATGGTTAAAGTGAGCTCTTATGTCTTACTTTGGTCTGGTGGGTCTCCAGGATAGCGATGATGGTTCTGGGGATGGCACAGGCTGTAGCGTTCACCTAGAGAGAGAAACAGAGACATGATGGAGGTGTTATAGTGCTGTCAGACACAGGAACACACACACACACACACACACACACACACACACACACACACACACACACACACACACACACACACACACACACACACAACACACACACACACACACACACCACACACACACACACACACACACACACACCACACACACACACACACACACACACACACACACACACACACACACACACACACACACACACACACACACACACACACTCTCTCTCTCAGACTCACAGTGTGGGCGTACTGCAGGAGGCCGTCCTCGCGCTCATACAGGATGTTCAGGCGTCTGCTCTGGTAGTCTGTGCAGTTAGATCCGCTGGAGATCTAATAAAGAGAGAAGAAGTGAGATCAGAATCATACAGCTCTGTGAGGATCAATGACATGGTGACAATATGCAGGCCTAGTTCAACTTTTTTCGTACCCCATGACCAGAGTTGGGTGTAACGCGTTACTGTAATAATATTACTTTTGTCGGTAACGGAGTAGTGTAACGCGTTACTTTTATAATTCAGTAATCACACTACAGTTACTAACATTGCCCCGACACGCGTTACTTTGTTACTTTTATAAAATCAGTCATAATCACACTGACAGACAAGAGGGGTTTCCGCCGCAGGTTTATATGTACGTAATCTGCGCGACTTGCACGTCCACATCTCCACGTGCAGTGCTGCATAAACATGGCAGAGTCAGCGATAACTTTCGAGGGGTGGAGGTATGCCCATTATTTTGAGTTCGTCCGAAGAATAGACAGGAATGTGACGGTGAGGTGCAAACTGTGTCCAGGCCAGAAGCTGTTATACACTGCTGTAAACACCACGTCAAACCTCAACAAACACCTGCAAAGAACACATGCTAAGGTCAAGCTAATAGCTAAGGACCCCCGAACCCAGAGTGAGGATGTTGTGAGTGTGCCGCCACCGACTCCGAAGCAGCACAAATTAGAATTTGGAGGACCGGTAACCAAAGCAGAGATGGACAGGCTTGTAGCATCCTTCATAGTAGAGGTAATGTTGCCCATTTGCACAGTGGAATCACCATCACATCGTTCAGAGATATACTGCGCAAAATACAGATAGCAGGAGACAGAGGACAGCCATAGTCAGAGCTATCTGGATCAGTCTTATGCGACAATGCGACAACTAAAGAGAACATTTGAAACTTTAGCAGTCTGCGTGATCTGCCTGTAGGGAGGGGCGGGCCGGCCCTGCGAGTAAAGTAACGAGTAAAGTAACGAGTAAAGTAACGAGTAAAGTAACGAGTAAAGTAACGAATTACTTTATGTAGAGAGTAACGAAGTAGTGTAATATATTACTTTTTTAAAAAGTAATATGTAATATGTAATATATTACTTTTTTTTAGTAACGACCCCATCTCTGCCCATGACACTAGATTGACGTTCATGAAACCTGCAATTACATCATCATCATCTTCCCCATCTTATTATTTTAATAATCCCATCTTATTGACTCTCTTTTATCCATTTATTTGGGAGTTTTTCCTTGTCCGATGTGAGGGTTCAAGGACAGAGGGTGTGGTATTCCTATTACAGGGTATATGCAGGAATCCTGAAGTCAAATGTAATACCTTTTAAGACCTTTTTTAAGACCCTTTCCATACATTTTAAGACCTCATCGCCACTTCGAGTTCTAACCGGTTACATTGGCGACACACTTTACCTCACATTGACTATATACAGTATTGATTGTCCTTCCTCCTTATCTTCCAACCATTTGGACGCAAACTTGCATTTCCCCATAACGATGTTGCTTAACAACCGGCGTAAACGGACATTCGCTCGCTATCAAGCAGTGAGCGCGCGATGTCCTGTTCAGATGACGTCAAATCCAATGGGATGCCATAAATAAACTACACAGAATCACACTACACACCTACGCAATGATTACATTCAGGCAAACTGTAGAATACAACCTCTTTGGACAATTTATATACTTATTGAAAACAAGCTACAAAATGTAATACCTTGGAAAATGCTGTTTAATACTTTTTAATAGCCTTCATTTTCGCTAAATTGATTTATCAACTTTTAATACTTTTTAAGACCCCGCGGACACCCTGTATTCATATTCTGTACAAACTGTAATCCCCTGAGACAAATGTAAAATGTGTGGTTATATAAATAAACTTTGATTGATTGAATTATTTATATTGAAAGCCAGTACCATTTTTAGCCAAATAGAGTCTAAATATTTAACATTTGCTACATTTTTCTCACACATCACTGTGTTCATACATGACACAGATTCTGCTCTCTATTACTAATTCAGGACCAAATTGTTGAATAAATGAACAGAAAATTGATATTTTTCACCCAAAGATGGAAATTGTTTGGCTACAAAATTGAGGTGGTAAAGCATACGTTGCATAGAGAAATGTAAGGAGCGATTTCTGTCTGTTTTTCATTCTTTCAAATGTTGACAGAATTAAACTTTTGAGAAATGATGTGATTGCTAAGCGTGTCACTGAACCTTTGAGTGATAAAAGGAGGTCGCTGATATTGTAGGGAAGTTTGCATCTCACCATGCACAAGCTGTAGGAGAGATTTTCACAAATAATCATCTTTATAAAACTCATAGTCAGCAGATATCTCAGTTGACATCCCATCATATCCTCTGCATCTGTGGCAGGTATGTAAATGATATGATGGGACTGACCTCTCCGTAGTTGTCCCTCCCGGGCATCCAGGCTTCGATGTCGTACTTCCTGTGTGCCGGAAGACCGAGCTCCTGCGTCGGCATGTCCAGAACTCTGAGTGAAACACACACAAATACAGCATGGGGCTCAAAATAGAGCCAGGACTCTGTGTATACTCTCAATATCACTTAAAATGTAATGCATGTAGGAAAGAACATGGCCACTCAGATGTTGTGTGTGTGTGTGTGTGTGTGTGTGTATGTGTGTGTACTCACCTGTAGTGTAGTTCCAGTGCAGAGAACATTTCTTTCTGTAAGGAGATGAACTCCTGCAGCAGCTGAGCACTCTCTTCTCCCGTCTCATCTGCTGTCACTCCAAACATCTCTACCTGTGTACACACACACACACACACACACACACACACACACACACACACACACACACACACACACACACACACACACACACACACACACACACACACACACACACACACACACACACACACACACACACACACACACACACCACACACACACACACACACACACACACACACACACACACACACACACACACACACACACACACACACACCACACACACACACACACACACCACACACACACACACACACACACACACACACACACACACACACACACACACACACACACACACACACACACACACACACACACACACACACACACACACACACACACACACGTTAAAGGGGCAGCCGCCTGAACATTTGAAAACATCCTTTTCCTCTCACCTTTAGTGCTAATTCTCAGTCTAAATGAGTTAGCAATGCACATGAGCAAATATGTGAATGCATATGTTTATGAGAGTGATTCCTGTGTGTGTAATACATGTGTGTGTTACCTTGTTGAAGTGATGCACTCTATACAGGCCCCATGTCTCCCTGCCGGTGTCGGTCTCTGCTCTGTAGCAGGTGCTGCTGCACACCGTCCTGCAGACACGTCACACATCATCAGATCAAATATAACTTGATTTATTTTCTGTAGAGAATTAAGAGTGAGGGGTTCTGTTTATTACCTGGCAGGCAGGTCCTTCCAGTTCACTGCATGATCCATGAAATAACCTGCAGAAGAGAGACACATCAAACAACAACCTACTACACATGTGACATGGATGTTTCCAGCTCTTCTGATATACGCTAGTGTGTGTGTGTGTGTGTGTGTGTGTGTGTGTGTGTGTGTGTGTGTGTGTGTGTGTGTGTCTGTACCATTCCCTGGTCCTGATCAAATACCTTACTGATCAGGTATTGTCAGTGATGAAATGTAATAAAGTAAATGTACTCAAGGACTTAAGTACAATTTTGAGGTACTTTTATTTCAATTTATGATTTATACCACTAACATCTAAAAGACAATATTGTACTTTTTATTCCACTACAGTTATCCTAAAAATGTAGTGACTCTAATGATTCAGATTATACGCTAATGCAAAATGTAAATCAACAATATATAGTATATAGTATCATATAGTACATGAAGTAAAATGTAAATTAGTTCCACTTTGACCAGCTGTGATGAACACATTAGGCAACAATAATCATAATCCAGTAATTTAATGTATATGATTCTGAATATTACCCATTTTGAGTACTTTTGGTAGGTTTAATTTGATGATACTTTTGTACTGAAGCAAGATTTTGAAAGCAGAACCTTTACATATTGCTCCTCAAGTTCTTCTACCACCAAAAGTTATTGTTAAAGGTCCCATGTCATGCTTTTCTGGTTATTACCCGTCCCCTTTTGTGTTATGTAGCTTTTTCTGCATGTAAACGGTCTGCAGAGTCACAAACCCTCAAAGTACACCCTGTAGCGAGTATTACATTGCATTACATGTTACTTGTTAGACGCTTTTATCCAAAGCGACTTACATACTCAATACTGTGGACAATCCCCACAGGAGCAATTTGGGGTGAAGTGTCTCAGGGACACAACGACATGCTGACTGCAGTGGGGTTTGAACCTGTGACCCCCTGAAAACTCTAACACAGAAAAGACCTGTCTATGCTGCACCAGAACGGGTATAGTGACGTAACGGCTCACACACACACACTCAATCTTTTCTCAGCTGCAGCTCCACGGATTTCTCAGCCTGAACTGACGGCGGGACGCGGCGAGGCTCGCTCGGCCTGGGCACACACACACACTCACAGCCAGTGTGAGTGTGTCTCGCTGTCTGGCAGACCCCACGCAGCAAGCAGGAAATGAACCCAGCTCACACTGTCCGCTCCAGCAGCGAGCCCCGCAACGTCCCGCCAACACGGCACCCAGACCCCACGCAGCATTCTCATCTGTTTGTCATTACTGGTGTCATTTTCTGGTTGCTAACAAACGCCAATGTAACACATAAACACTGATGTTCCGCTGTAACGGTGGTGGACTTATCAGAACAGAGTGGGCGAGCTGACCAATCAGAGCACACTGGGCTCATAGGGAGGTGGGGGGGCAGGAGCTCCAACAAGCCGTTTAGGACAGAGAGTGAATACACATACTATACAGAGATGCTGTATGAGAAACCAATGTGAGTTTGGAAAATTGAACAATATAAATCTATTCTAGTAGACCTCAACAATGGAATTATGATCAGTAGAAATGGCCATGTCATGGGACCTTTAAAAGTGAAAACCTTGTTGTGACTGCAACACATTAACACATAAACGTTAGTGAATAATAAAGTATCACCTGCCACTCCGACCTCTCCGGTGCCGGCCAGGTTCAGGTCTGGGAATAGCTCCGGGTCCAGAGAATAAACCTGAGAGCGGTGAGATTTGGGCGGCATCCCACAGCCCTCCTGCAGGGGGACGAACCAAATTATTAAAAAACACAACAGTAGTTACATAGTGTAGGACATGTGATGGCTTAAAAAGGGCTTTAACTGAACTTTTGGTCTTTAAACGGTTACGTCTGAGTGTTTTGTGGCAAAATATTTACTCATAATTATTAATGTCTATCTAATCTCATTTTTTAATTAAAAATCTTATTGCGTTAACGTGTCAACATCAGGGATGTTAGAAACAGTGTTCAGCTACTATCATAGTAGTCCCTCCCTTTCCGGGGGACCTCCATGGGACCTTATTACGGAAAAAGTATGTATTGAAGTCAATGGAGAGAGAAAGATTATCTTTCAATCCCGTTTGAATTGTGCCACGAATCACACATATGATGTTTGTCAATTTAAAAGATAATTTTGCAAGTCAAGAAAATTAAAATGTGTCGTAAAACTGTGAAGTAACACTTTTTTTTGGTGTGAAACCGCTCAATGAACTACATCTCCCGTCTCGCACCACACACCAAGACGGCCGTCACGTTGGCACATTTCACTTCTTTCTTTCAGAATGAGGCGAAAAGTATTAAACGAGGTGAAAATCACTCCAAGTCTGGGCATGTTGAGAGCTGTACATACACACAAGGGGAGTTAGTCGGTTCGTAAGAGCCAGCATGCGGGACCGGGATTCTGGGATTTGTAGTCTTTCTAGTTGCGTATTTTTCATAGTCTTATATTTCAACAGTTTTACGACAAACTGTGACTTTTTTGATATGGAAATTATTTTTTAAGATTGACAAACATCATATGTGTAATTCATGGCACAATTCAAACGGGATCGAAAGATAATCTTTCTCTCTCCATTGACTTCAATACATAATTTTTCCGATATAAGGTCCCATGGGGCGGAAGTAGATGGGCAGGACTTCGCCTCTCTCCTCTTCTTTGTACATTTTTTATACACAAATCTAAGTTTACAAATTCTATATTTTGTGTATTTCATGATTTTATTTTATTTAAAAAAGCCCTAGAAGCTAATTATAAGAAATGAAACAATAAAGTTCTTTGGTACTAAACAATAAAGTAAATATTTAATACATTTACTTTATTGTATTCTTATTTATTGTAAATAGTAATGTCTGATATGTTTATTGTTCATTTTATTATGCACTTGCTCTATCCTGTTAGTTCATTGTGAAATACCTGAGAGCCATGTTGTTTTGTACATGTAATCGTTCAGATTAAACAAAACAATATCAATTCTGCGACTCACAAACACTGCCCCCTTCAGCATGTCAGGCACGACCATGGGAACGAAGCCCTGCAGGAGTCAGAGGGAAAACTCAACGTTAACTCTCCTAATCAGAATAATAATATACATTTAGAAATGATATCTTATATTCTCACACATGCTCACCCGTCGCTGCAGGGTGTCGAGGGCAAAGTTCTGCAGAGCGGTCTGAAGTCTGGCCCCCGCTCCCCTCAGGTAGTACGACCTGTGGCCCGAGATGTGAGCCAGATGTCTGCAGGAACAAAGCATAATGATCCCCGTTTATATCAACAGTTGGCTTCTTTTTTTTTTAAAGGTCCCCTATTATAGTGTTTTCATCAATATATTATAGGTCTCAGATATATACAAACATGTCTCTGAAGTGTTTGGCTCCAAACACCAAACAGATCATTGCAGCATTACCCATAATCCCCTCTGTTTCAGCCCTGTTTCAAAAGTGCTGATTCTCTGTCTGTTACTTTAGATGAAAATAAGGAGCCCCTCCCCACGCCCCTCTGAGAGAGATTTGGTTAAAAAGAACACAATGGTGTTCTAGGAGGAGATTCAGGTGATAAGGTGGGGGGGGTTACCTTGGTTGGTGATTGGCTAATGGTTACACAAGCCAAAAAAATCGTTATGACATCATAAAGTGACCAAAATCTGATCAGCTCATTTTCAGACAGGTTTTTATATAAATGGATCAGGACAAAAAGAGAGAGAATCTTTGTTCCTGAAACTTTCAGAGTCTCTTTACACAGAGGGGACACATGTTGATGTAGAAGAGACATGAAGAAGAAGGGACACATGTTGATGAAGAAGAGACATGAAGAAGAGGGGACACATGTTGATGTAGAAGAGACATGGAGAAGAGGGGACACATGTTGATGTAGAAGAGACATGAAGAAGAGGGGACACATGTTGATGTAGAAGAGACATGAAGAAGAGGGGACACATGTTGATGTAGAAGAGACATGAAGAAGAGGGGACACATGTTGATGTAGAAGAGACATGGAGAAGAGGGGACACATGTTGATGTAGAAGAGACATGAAGAAGAGGGGACACATGTTGATGTAGAAGAGACATGAAGAAGAGGGGACACATGTTGATGTAGAAGAGACATGAAGAAGAGGGGACACATGTTGATGTAGAAGAGACATGAAGAAGAGGGGACACATGTTGATGTAGAAGAGACATGAAGAAGAGGAGACACATGTTGATGTAGAAGAGACATGAAGAAGAGGGGACACATGTTGATGTAGAAGAGACATGAAGAAGAGGGGACACATGTTGATGTAGAAGAGACATGAAGAAGAGGGGACACATGTTGATGCAGAAGAGACATGAAGAAGAGGGGACACATGTTGATGTAGAAGAGACATGAAGAAGAGGGGACACATGTTGATGTAGAAGAGACATGAACAAGTGGATTTTGCATCATAGGTGACCTTTAAGTGGGTTTGCATGACGTTCTCATCCATAATCAGTGAATGACTCCAGAAGATGGAGGTCAGCTCGCACCAACTTTGGAGACACAGACGGGTGTACCACTATGGAAGTTAAGCAATGTTGTGCTGTGGATGGAGGCAGCAGTGAAACACATTTTAACCACCTAAAAAAACTATATTAATGTAAATGTATTCTATATTTGGCATATTTCCATTGACAAAAACAGTAATTTTGCCTTAGAGGACACATGGGTTGCTGATCTGCTTCCTTGGTCACTTAGTAAGTTTGTGTTATTGTGTGATTTTAAAGTATTAGATCAATTTGACCAACGTCACACAATTTTGTCAATTACTCCTGTGTTCAGAAAGGTACAACTACTGAGTCTGCTAACTTTGAAGAGAGCATGGATGGATAAAGAAGTTCCCTGTTGGAAAGCACTTTCTGATGGCTGATAAAATCTGTACAAATATTTTAAATATAGCATGCTCTTTGTTTTATATTGATTTTTTAGGTAGCTTGAATAAGTATTGCTACTCTTTGTCCACAGCAGCACATTGTTCAGCTCTTGTGCCGTTACTAAAGTCTGTTTCTCCAAAATGGGGTCCAGTTCACCGGCGTGTACTGTAAGTAATAGACTGTGTATAAGAACCATCAAACCATTCCTTTAATATTAGACAAATTATTAAAGGTCCCATGTCATGGCCATTTCCACTGATCATAATTCCATTGTTGAGGTCTACTAGAATAGATTTATATTGTGCAATTTTCCAAACTCACATTGGTTTCTCATACAGCATCTCTGTATACTATGTGTATTCACTCTCTGTCCTACACGGCTTGTTGGAGCTCCTGCACAACACACAAGGGGACAGGTAATAACCGGAAAAGCATGACATGGGACCTTTTAACCAATTGGACAATTTTTATACATATTGCACGTCAAATTTTTACTTTCTTTGCTCTCACTTGCAGGCTGATTCAACAGATGAAACTAACGTCCTCTTTCCCTCAGTTTTATAAAAAAAATATGAACCTAAGTTTCAAAAAGAGTAGTGCACAGGTGAAAGTGTAATATAAAGTGGGAGATATGAGAGCGGTCCTCACCTCTGCCTGATGAGACCCAGCTCCTCCCCCAGCTCCACATGGCCTCTGGGCTGGAAGTCAAACTCTGCAGCAGATAGAGAGCAGATTATGAGATTAGTGTTTTCTAAATCACACACAGGTAAAGCACTTTGGATGATTATCATTGATCTGACACTCCTGATCAATCACCTGGTTTCTCTCCAACCAGCTCCACCACCTTCGCCTGGCTCTCGTCTCCAACCGGCTGGAAGAGGACAAGACAAAGTATGTTGAGTATCCCAAAGTTGTATGTTAGAAATGTACAGTATGGGTCCTCAGTACATAGAAACTGCCGGATGCTAACTCACATATAATGGGCTATTTGCACAATTGGCATAAATTGCATTAATTAGCATATGCAGACAATAGCTAAAGAAATTGCATGGCCGATTTGGACAATTTTGTAGGAGGTTATTTAGGATGTTGAATCTATTTCGGACCTTTGAAGGATCAAGAATGGCAGTTTTGAGTCCCCTAAAACTTTAAAATCTACCCAAAATTAATCAAATCAGCACACCGAGAGTACAAAAATTGCCACTCTCTGGTTAAAACTGCAATTTTTGATCCCCATAATGTCAGTAATTGATTCAATATCCCCGATAACCTCCAAAATTGTCCACGCCCATTATCTGCCTATGATAATTAACGCAACCTATGCTAATTGTGCAAATTGCCCAACATATAAAAGTTAGTTATGTGATGAGGACCCATATTTCTAACATAAAACGTTGGGGTACTCAACATTTCCAGGTTCAGAATAGGTCTCTATGAGCTGGCAAATAGACAGACACATTTAAATATATACATTTCCGGTGTGTGTGTGTGTGTGTGTGTGTGTGTGTGTGTGTGTGTGTGTGTGTGTGTGTGTGTGTGTGTGTGTGTGTGTGTGTGTGTGTGTGTGTGTGTGTGTGTGTGTGTGTGTGTGTGTGTGTGTGTGTGTGTGTGTGTGTGTGTGTGTGTGTGTGTGTGTGTGTGTGCGTGTGTGTGCGTGTGTGCGTGTGTGCGTGCGTGCCCTCACCACATCAGGGTGTGAGCTGTTGGGCAGTCTCAGAGCTCGTCCGTAGTGCTCCTGGTCCAGCTCCGTCTCTTTGGGGTAGAGCTGGTTCAGTCTGTTGCGGGTCTCTCTCCCTTTCTGCAGAGCCTGGTTGAATTCTGGAAGCTGTGTGACAAAAAGAAATGTAAGAATCAGAACCTGGTCCCACATTACCACGGAGCAGGGTACTGACAGGGGAGAAACACTGCCTACATGTTGAGGGATTCAAAGTTTTAAATGTTAAAAATGCTAAAACTTACATTGCTGAGGCTCTTCTTGTCGTTCTTGATCTGTGAGGAAAAGACGAATGATGTCACGGTTATAAATGCAGCTTTAATCTTGTATTATAATTTCTAACATTTGGGATTTCTATGTTGTAAATGTACATTTTCTCCCTGGTAATGGTGGCATTTCTTGGGATTTTTCCTGGGAGACAGCGGGTTTTATATGCTGTACACACACCCTGAGACAAATGGGTAATCTGTGATATTGCGTTATGTACAGTAAATAACATTTGATTGGTTGATTGATATTCTTACAAACACACCTATTTCTCAATAGTTATTCGTAATGCCTGTCCAGGGGTCAGACTCCTTGTGAAATCAGTGTTCTGTCCACACTGGTCGCCACAAATAACCACAATAATCTGAGTTCCTTGTAATTGCTTTAAGTGAAATTGAAATCACAAATCAAGTTTCTATGTTCAAATCAATCAAAAAACTGACCACCAGTGCTTTGACTGACTCCCCGATCTGAACCTTCTGCTGCTCCAGCCCAGAGATCTCCGTCCTCACCGCCTGCAGCTCCTGCCACACACACACCTGCACAGTACACACATTTAAACACAGTTAATAGAAATACCAGGAAAACAGTGGCACTCAAGTTACATTTTTCCACATTTCATATTTCGTTATGTTTGTTTGCTTGTCTGTCTTTAGCTGTGATGCCAACTGGATATGATTATTATATGTGTTAAATCTGTTTTCTGGTTACATTTTATAACATAACTTGCATAGTCAGGTCACAGGAATACTTTAAATGACATGTTCTTATCTGACTTGAACATTGGGAGGGCATTTTAAAGTCCCCCTCCACTCAAAAATGTATTTGTTTTGCTTATTTTTACTTCATTTGACTCTCTTTGCAGAAACTGTGTATAATCAGAGTTTGACAACAGAAAGCTATTTTCCCATTATACCTCTGCAGGTATACATTTTAAAAGGTAAAAGTACTCAGATCTTGTACTTTAGTAGAAGTAGAATGACCAGAGTGTAGGAATACTCTGTTACAAGTAGTAAAAGTATTGGCATCAAAATATAGTTAAAGTAGCGACAGTAAAAGTAGTCATTATGCAGATTGGTCCATTTCAGAATAATATATATGATATGTTTTATAATGATTGATCATTAAAGTGTTCTCAAAGCTGGTAAAGGTGCAGCTAGTTTGAATGACTTTGTATACTGCAGGGTAGCTTGTGAATTTACTCCAGGTGGAACTAAAGTCTGATTCAACACTTGATTATATTTCACATCATTCATCCAGATCTGTGAAGTAACTAAAGGTATTAAATAAATGTAGGGCAGTAAAAGTACACTATTTACCTCTGAACTGTAGTGGAGTAGAAGTACAAAGTAGCAACAAATGACATACTGTATTAAGTACAGTGCTTTTACAGTACATGTACTTAAGTTACTTTACACCACTGAATTAAAGTCTATGTTTTGGCTTCTAAGCATCCAACCAGCCAACTGTCAACCCCAGACATGATTTGTTATCTTAATTAACAACTGCAGAAACACTTACAATCTTCCTGACATCTTCTCCTCTCAGCTCTCCCTTCCTGTTTTCCACATTTGCTATGACTTTCTCGGTCTGCTCACACACTTCCGTCATGTCCAGCTCCGGCAGGTCGCTGTACCCTTTGACGGAATGATCGTACAAACTGCTCCGGGCTCCGTGAGAGCACCGGATAAACACCCTGATCCTCTGCCGGGAACAGTGCCTTGTAATTGGCTTCAGCGCTGTCAGAGCAGTGGCTCCAACCCTGGAGACCATGCCGATGGAGGTCGCCATGTTTATGTTGCGTTCAAAGGTATGTGGGAATAATCAGAACTGTATTCTTGTGTAAACGAGAAGTCTTCTTCTTTGTTTGAAGGTGTATTACCGCCGCCTACTGTATTGGAGTGTGGACCTAAAATAAAATATATACAATTAAATTCAAATGTAAATTATTTGTATTAAGTCTAGCTATTAGCTTTTAAGCTAAATGCAACGTAATGTAATGTTTAAATAACTACGTTCCTATTTTCAGTGAATGCAGCATGAATACCGGAACTTACCATTTCGAAAATAAAACTGTTATTTTGCCCAACGGTCAGCCAACGGTTAACACATTTTGAAAAGAAAAACGAAGATTAATTGTTTTATTTATTTTCCTTTATTTATTCAAGAACAAATTGACATCAGGGTAAACATATAAAGTAATAAAATAACACGTAAAATTTAAAATGTGATTAAATATGTCTTAAATACACAATTCGTTTTGATTGCCTTTGTATTCATACTGTTTTTAATAGTGCTACTATAATGTTTTAATTCTTGGTGAATGAAAAATGTTTAAAATGAGGTTTGCAGTTAGCCCATTTCTTTTTATATAGGCACATTTCCCTAAAAATAAAATTAACTGTACAACAACAACACAATCTGCGTCCATACTGTCACCTTTGAAGTATGTACAACATGTCTCTATCCTGTAGTTGTACATTTTATCTCGTTTTTCTTTTAAAAAACGAGCAGAAATTGTTTATTGTATCTCTACACGGACGTCACGAGTCAAAGGTCGTCCAATCAGATGAGCGGAAGTTTATACGTTGCGGTAATCCGGTGTGCGGCCGACTGAACCTGAAGTCAGTGGTACATTTTACCCCTGTAGCCTCTGAAAAACTGCACTATTTAAACACATATTCTGCTTTGCAACAAAGTAGGACGTGTGAGGAGGATATCATGGTGGACTGACATCTTGTGAGCACCAGAGGCGGTGTGCACAATGCGCCTTTGAGAGCTAGTTTTGTTATGGATGTTGTTGCACCGGTGCTGCTGGATGAACACCGAGCTGACTCTGCTTCACAGGCCGCCTAACTAAACCCTCACAACCGGGTTTAGTTACAGCCAGCCTACCCCCCCCCCAAAACTGCCTCACACATTCCTGCTGAGAGAGACCCAATCCGGCTTCACGGTGGAAACCAGAAGACGAGCAAAGGTAATGTTGAGCTGTGAAAAATCCACATTTGACCTGTTTACTAATGCTACAAAAACAGCCTGCTTTGTGTGTGTCATTCCAGTCTGTAAATGCATATTCCTTTTTATATTCTGCACATGTCTGTTCTAGGCTAGCTTTTTTTGGACTGCTTTAAATTCTCATTTACTGCACCTATTTTATTCTACGGAAAACGATTAGGGCCAAAATTCTGAGACTTTTTTTAATTACATTTTTTACTTTATTTTCCTCGAAATTCTGTCATTGTGGTTGTGTACCATTTATATACTAAAGCAAAATCCTTGCATGTGTTAACAGACTTGGCAATAAACCTCATTCTAATTGATTAAGGACGGTATTTCAAGACATCTCCTTATGGTAAAATAAAACTGAAACGTTATGCAATAAGAAAACTGGGGCCAACACTATTTACTTAAAAATAGCTTGTATCTTGAACTCAACATTTTTTTTTCAGGGTCATATGTGTTATTTCTAGTATTATCTTTCAATATTTTTATGCGCGCTTCTTGAGTGATATTAAGCAATCTTTGGCTCTTTACTTGCTGTAACAAATGTACATGTCCCCTCTGTGGGACGAACAAAGGTGTTCTGATTGTGAACCTTATCTGCATATTGAAGTATGAATGCTTGTTGTTTGTATGTTGTACATCTCTTGTTTGTTTTTTTGTATTTTTGATGGCACCTTAAAAAAAAGGGAGTAGCTCTACTCATCCCATTGTACCTGTATAATGACAATAAAGAATTCTATTCTATGTTGTTGCTCAGATGAACGCTGTGCGGGGGGGCACAGCGACCTGGCGCCCCCAGCCGTGGCAGGACGGGGACGGGGGCGGAGGAGAGCCTCTGTCGGACAGCGACTCGGAGGAGGAGGACTTCCCCGACGACAGCACCACGCCGCTGGGAGACTACATCACACACGGTGAGTCAAGGTCAACTTTATTGTCAATCTTTCAGTTTGTGTGTACAGACAGAGAAATCGAAATACCGTTTCCCACAATCCCAAATACAAATATATATGTATAAAGATATGTATATACCTATATATCAGGGGTGTCCACACTACGGCCCGTGGTCCACTTTGAATTGGCCCACAAAGGAAACTTGTGCTTGTCTTATATTGTACTTCTTAAATATAAATGTACAAATATATTACACAGTAGTATTCATGTGTTAAAGGTGGGGTAGGTCATTTTGGAGAAACCACCTCGAGTGCGGTAGAATTTGAAAATACACAGCCGGAAGAAATCTGCCACTTCCTTACAGAGCCCCTCCTCCAACACACACGAACGCGCACATGACCAATGAGGGCACGAGATAAGTTTGTGCACAGATGGAAGGCTGACAGGCAGGTAGGCCATCCAGTTATTTTAGCCGGGCCGGCTAAAATGATTGGTCGTGCTTTTTACAGTACTACGGCTTCCACAGATGACATTTTTTTATGGATTTTTTGTCAAAGCACTTCAGATATTCATTGCTATCGGGATGTTAAGAGCATTCCATGGAATATAACAAAAAGTGTATCTCGAGCCGGTTTCTCAAACTTACCTACCCCACCTTTAATAAGACCACTTTTCAAATAAATGTAGTTGATTAAAGTTTTCTAACATATCTTAGTTGATCAGAAAAAAGCCCAGTGACTTATTTACATAACAAGCTTGAAATACACCCTTCCTAATTCTCCTTATTGTAATCAATCTGAGGGATGAGCTGCCAACACTCACAAGCATCATTTACCTTCATTTGATTGATTATTCTAACTTATAACTGAACTTATGAGGCAATAAACCTTTAGTGAGTGGCCCAGCCCTTCGTATATATATTTTTCTGTATGTGGCCCTCGCTGAAAAGAGTTTGGACACCCCTGGTCAAGTCAAAGTCAACTTTATTGTCAATCTTTCAGTGTGTGTGCACAGACAGAGGGATCGAAATACCGTTTCCCACAATCCCGAATACAAAAAATACAAATATATATAAAAACATGTATGCAAATATGTATATCCTATATATACACAATCAACAGACACATTTATACATACTATGCACACATTAAGACGTAAATAAAAGCACAACAATCAATATATACAAAATAACAGTCACTTCAATATCTTTTGGGAGCAAGACTCATGAAGCTAGAGAGAGAATTCTGGAGAATGAACCTTGTAGTGAATTCATTAAGTTTCACCTGTCTTCAGAAACACGATCATAATTATTTTATTTGTCCTGCAATGGGGAAATTCAAGGTGTTACAGCAACAAGAGTATAGTGCAGATTAATTAAAAAGAGTACACTTACATACAGTATTATATGAAAAAGTAGACGCATGTTGTTAATAATACAGACACCATGTTATAGAAGTAGCTGGGACTGTTCACAGATTGATAAATAAGCGTGAAATGCACGAGGGTATATTGCACACAGTTTTATTTTGACAGGCATTGCTATAACACCTTTACTGTCTTTATTCCTGCCTCCTTAAATCTCACTTCTTCTGTTCCCCCCCTCGCTTCCCTGATATTTATTTCCTCGTCCTGCTTTGTTTCTAGGATTGAAGCAGCTCCTGGATGCTCAGCAGCTGTGTGATGTTACTCTTCTTGTGGAGGGAAAGAAGTTCATGTGCCACAGGTAGGACTGCTTTTTCCTACACAGATGATACAGAAAAAAAAGATTAATGATTTTGATTGAAGACATTTATTTTTAAATTCCTCCTCTTGTGTTTGTGTACCATTATACACTAAAGCAAAAACCTTGTATGTGTTAACGAGCCATCCATCCCGCTTATCCGTGGTCGGGTCGTGGAGGTAGCAGTTCCAGCAGAGTGTTAACGAGCAATAAACCTATTCTGATTTATTAAGGACAGTATTTCAAGACATCTCCGTATGGTCAAATCAAACTGAAACATACTGCAGTGAGAAAGCTTTTTTTTGCTATTAGGGTCATATCGTTGTTGTGTTGTTTCTAGTTTTATCTATTAATATTTCTATTGTGTTATTTAGTTTTCTTCATATACCACTTTACACGATAGCAAACACATTGGTTTGTCAGTGAGCTGTAGGGAGACAAAAACAAGGTACTGTTAAATGTACAATTCCTTCTCCTCATGATATAAACACGTTATCTTCTATCCTTCTCGCTCCTCAGAGTCCTGTTGGCAGCGGTGAGTCCGTATTTCCGGGCGATGTTCACCAGCCCTCTGGTGGAGTCCCGCCTCACTGAGATCCGACTGGAGGAGGTCACGCCGTCCGTCATGGAGACGGTGATCCAGTTTGTTTACACCGGTGAGGCGGGGCTCTCTCTGGACACGGCGGAGGATCTGTTTGTGGCCGCCAACCGGCTGCAGGTCATGCCCCTTCAGGACCTCTGCTCCAGGTAAATCAGCTGTAGGAAAAGTGACAGGTGATCAGGTTTACAGCCAAGATTCAGGTAGAGATGTGTTCATCGGTAGAGAATTGGCAATACTGTTCCTACAGTAGTATTTAGTAGTAGTAGTAGTTGTTATTTTTCTTCTTTACTTGCTTGTAAAGCGCTTTGAGCACCAGGAAAAGCACTATATAAATCAAATGTATTATTATTATTATTATTATTACAGGATAGCTACTCTCCCATTATCTCATGATTTTCAGGTGATCTTGAATATCCAGGTGCCTTGCAAGTGACCTGAATTGGGCAGAAAATGTCGAGTGACATTGAAAAAATAAGCACTCTGTCAAGTACTTTGACGTTAGGTTTTACAACCCAGCTTTTGTCTTCTGGATATCAAACCCCCTAGTCTCATATACTCTAACTCTCCCCCTTCCTCCACTTTTTTCTCTTCTCTGACCTCCAGGTTCCTGTTTGAGCACCTCTCGGTGGATAACTGTCTGGGGATGTACTCTCTGGCTCGCTCTCACCACGACCAGCTGCTGCTCCGCGCCACGCTGCGTCTCGTGGCTCAGCACTTCCCCCGAGTCGCCCGTCAGAAGGACTTCCTGCTGCTGGACCACGGCACGCTGGGCAGCCTGCTGAGCTCCGACCGGCTGGGCGTGGACTCGGAGGCGGAGGTTTACGACGCGGCGCGGCGCTGGGCGGAGCACCAGCCTTTAGATCGCTACGCCCACATGCCGGCGCTGCTGCACCACCTCCGTCCGGGGCTGCTGTCCCAGGAGGAGAGCCGGAGACTCTGCCAGGAGCTCGGCCCCGCTGCCGCCGGCGAGGCCCTCGGGGGGCCGCTGAGGCCGCGGGAGGGCATGTTCGAGAAGAAGATCGTCTGCGTGGACCTGACGCCTCGGGAGGACGAGAGCGCCGCCTCCAGAGACCTCACCGTGGACTGCTTCGACCCGCGGACAGGGAAGTGGGAGAAGCTGGCGGCCCTCGGGTCCCTGGTGAGCCCCGGCTGCACCGCTGTGGGGGACCGGCTGTTCGTGGCGGGGGGGATCCTGAGGACGGGCTCCGTGTCTGCAGCCGTGCACGAGTACGACGCCGTGCTGGACCGCTGGATTGAGCGGCCCCCCATGGTGCAGCCGCGGGCCATGCTGGGCCTGCTGGGCTGCGGGGACTCCATCTTTGCATTGGGGGGCAGTAACCGCTCCGCCCTACTGGACTCCAGTGAGACCCTGGACCTCTCGACGCTGCGCTGGTCCCCGGGGCCTCGCCTGCCGCTGCCTCTCAGAGCCTTCGCCTGCGCTGCTCTACGCGGACGTCTCTACCTGCTGGGTGGAACCACGCTGGAACAGAACCGGGCCGTGGTGCATTCAGGGGTCCTCGTCTATCACACCCTCACAGACTGCTGGACTCGCGTGGCTCTGGACTCGGGGGCCACCTGCCTCGCCGGGGGGGTCGCGGTCCGAGGGGGCGTCTGCGCCATCGGGGGATACATGAGGGACACCACCAAGTTTCTGGACGGAAACTACACTAACCTGGAGACTTTAGACGCCACGGGGCGGGTTCTGTTCTTCAGGGAGGGCCGGGGGTCCGGGGCAGATAGGGAGGTGACCGGGGGGGGGGTGATGGTGAGCGCCGAGCAGCGAGGGGGGGCAGGAGGAGGGAGCGACCGTGCCCCGAGTCCGGTAGTTTTCCCCGGGTTGCCGCGGAGGATAGCGGCGGGCGGCGTGGCCCGGTGGAAACGCAGGATTTACGTCCTGGGGGGCGAGAACGGGTCGCGGTTCTACGACAGTGTTTACTGCTGGAAGCCCGGCTGGCGCAGTTGGGTCCAGAGACGAGAGAAACTCCCCGGAGACACAGGGGGGGTGAGCCAGTTCGGGTGTACCACCTTAAAGTTCCCCAAGAAACACATCCTGTCCAGACTGAGACTAGCCAAAGAAAACTGCAAGAAGCCCGCCGACTAGCTCCACAGGGACCAACTGAAGACGAAGCAGCTGATCATGTGACACACAGACCAGGAAGTAGCTCCTCCTTAACCTCATGAAATGTTGAGGTTGAGTCACAAGGAAGAGGCCATTTTATACAGAGTGCAGCACACGGTAGTCTTTTATTGACAAGATACAGGCAGATCTTGTGTTTTAAATCAGATGTCAGGCAAGTGGAGCTAGAACAGACAGTCAGGCAATATGCACCTGAATGTAACCTTATCCACAAATAGTAAAGTCCTTTCAGAAAGGAAAGGGCCTTTTTTTTTTAAATGTTATTCTTAAAGTGCAATGTTTTTTTCAGCATTTTGCTTAACCGCACAACATCTCAATGCTGTGAAGTTTCAGCTGCGTTGAGTTTAGACACAAGGACACATCGGCACATTTCTGACCATGCTATGTTTCATGCTATGTTGTATTGTTCTATTGCTTTTTTGAAACTGCATTAAGGGCTCTACAAATGCCCTTTATTTGAGTGGGAACCTATCAAAGATACTTTTCATAAACCATTTGCATATAGACAGTTTTTACTTGTTCTCTCATTTTATTTTAATTGACTATTACATAATAGAAACACACAAGGTTTGGTATTTCATTACCACAAACAAAGCAGCCATACAGAATATTAGTGACAAATCGACATTTTAAAACAAACAAACAGTATTCGTATGTATTACTACATTCATAACGGGTTAATCCAGGCACTCAAAACCCTAAATATGGCAACCCATGTGTTAATCACACATCAGATAAAGTCTTCTTACTCGGTACAGACTGTCCTCATGTTCAGTGAGGGGAAACCTGTGCAGATAAGGCATCATGATACGAAGATTAAAGATAGCCACAACCATTTTAAAGGTTAAAGCTGGCTACACACCAACCCGATTTTGGGAGTCAGAGGCAGTCGGGCATTCGCGGCGCCCTACTCAGGTTGGTGTGTCCCGCACCGTCGTCTCTTTACGGCACCTTTTCACACCTCCCGCGGCCGATTCAACATGTTGAATCGGCCGCGGGAGGTCAGAGAAAGTCGGCCCAAGCAATCACTCTGATTGGCTGTTCACACTACTGCTGGCAAGGACAGTTATTGCCACTCGTCGACTGAAGTATTTGCGGTGTGTTCGTAGGCGGGCGGCGTAGCCAACGCAGGCGACGTAGCTGACGTAAAAGTCGGACGTGTGTTTTATATATAGAGCATGGTACAGTGTCCGAGGGTACATGTGTTAGAGCAGGGGTGTCAAACTCAAATACACAGTGGGCCAAAATAAAAAAATCGGTACTAGTCGAGGGCCGGACTGGTTCAATGTTTATTGAATGAACTTATTGCACATATTAAACCTGGAGCTAACAAAGCTTAAATTATTGCCTATAAAAACAACATTAAATAATCAGTTGCATTCATTTCTTATGGCTCTATCTGCAGCTTTTCGAGAGTCATTTCTTATGATTACATTTTCCCACAGGCCAACAACAGCTTCAAGAAAACTATTTCCCTCAAAGAACAAACCAAACATGCCCTGTTGTCGCAAGAAAAAAAGTGCAAAAGGAAACATCCATTGAAACCCAGTTTGCTGCTCTGTGATGCTAGTTCAAGCCAGATACTTGGCATCTCATCTTGGGTGCAAGTTCATCAATGTTTGGGGTCAGGCTCTGAGCTGAGGGAACCCTCAGGATTGAGTGAAGGTGTGCGTGCAATATACCGGCGGGCCAGATCTAAAGGCCCGGACACACCAGCCCGATTTTGGGAGTCAGAGGCCGCCAGAGGCAGTCGGGCATTCGCGGCGCCCTACTCAGGTTTGTGTGTCCCGCACCGTCGTCTCTTTACGGCACCTTTTCACACCTCCCCACTACCGCTGCCTGCTGGTAAGGACAGTTATTGCCACTCGTCGACTGAAGTATTTGCGGTGTGTTCGTAGGCGGGCGGCGTAGGCGTAGGCGGGCGGTGTAGCCGGCGACGTAGCCGACGCAGCTGACGTAAAAGTCGGGACACCTTCGGTACACGTTCTTTGGTCTCAGGTGGGTGTGTAGCGGCCTTAATAGTAATTTGAAATTATCCTGCGGGCCGAAATTAAATCCACCACGGGCCTGATTTGGCCCCCGGGCCTTGAGTTTGACACATGTGTGAGTCCTTGTGTCTAAACTAACTTTCCTAGAGCTCCAGGTGAACAGCTGTGTTTCTGCAGCCGTGTCAAAACAATTTTATTTCCATTGCTCCAACCACAGAGCGTGTGAATGTGTTAGGCATGGAGTATTATGCATTATTTGAACACTTTAGCATTGCACCTAATTTATTCAGATGTATTTCTAAGGTTTTATTGTGAAATGTCATGTTGCTCTGACTGCAGGGCGGAAAGATAAGCTCAGACAGGAGCATGTGTTAATTCACTCTCATCTTGCTGAGTTGACCTCACCATCTTAACAATACATTCTTCTCATAACTGCAGGCCAGATACTGGGTTTAAAACTTTGGATAGTTGGCTAACTGATTCAGTTTGAATACTTTTTTTAGGAAGGAAACAGGAAGTGCGTCTTTCAGAGATGTAGGATTTTCTCTTTCAACATCGAGATAAGACACATTTTCACTCTAGATCTGCAGAGTTGATTTATTTAAGTTTACGAAATTCACTCCGAGTCGCTACTTAAGTATTTCAACTCAGAAATAAGCACTAATTTGGTGAGAAATAGAAGATTTCACATGTTAAAACCTGATCCAAATTCATGCATCTCCCTCAAAAAGACTCAAATCAGACTGGGTTGTCTCATAAATCTGCTTTTCACTTTCACTGCTAGAATCAAAAATGCTAGTACTTTTCATAATTTTCCAGCTTTTAGAAAGTATTACAATGACTCTCTTGAGACACAAGAACTTCCCTGTATTTTCTATCTGCTAGCAGCAGATGTTTAACACTACAGTCATGAACTCCCCAGCTATCACTAAACACTTTTAGTGCAACATCTGTCACTTTGTTGCTTTTCCAATAACATGTTCTGAATCATGTCAAATTAACAATTTATTTGTCTTCCTTGGTGTGACATGTGAAAGGTGTGTGTGTGTGTGCGTGCATGTTTTATATTGAGGCGTAAACCTGTTTTTTGCACACATCCAAACCCGTGCAGCTGCCCTCATTTTATGCAATCGGATCAAGTTTGTGAACTGAAAGGCAAATGGATGTTTTAATGAAGAGCCCTGCTGTCTAAGGATTAAACGACTGTTTGATACATTGTTTTTCACTTGTGAATTTTCTTTGCAAATGCCGTGACTTTTTAATTAAATGTTTGTACGTCATTTGGGTTTTACGGTAGATTTTTGTGATAAAAAAAAAGGCCCAAAATAGATTCAAATCTTCTTTAAAATCCTGTAAAACATGATGACTGAAAGCCTGTTTTTCATGGTGTTAATAATTACTCTAATGAATAAACTGCTGACACTTAGTCACCGCTGACCAAAGTTCTCACTTAGACTGACCACTACAGATCTACTGCCCATGCATCGCTCTCTAGTCCTTTTTTTTTATGTCTAACTTTATGTGTTTTTGGAGTTTTAGAAGCACAAAGGCAGGTTGCATAATATAGGAAGCTATTTAAATTGAAGCAGCAGGTATAACAACGTGTCTTCAGGTGTAAGTGGAGCGATGGAGAATCTCTCTTCAGGACAAATGGTCATCAACAACCCTGCAGACATCTCAGTTATTGTTTTTGTGTGTGTGTGTGTGTGTGTGTGTGTGTGTGTGTGTGTGTGTGTGTGTGTGTGTGTGTGTGTGTGTGTGTGTGTGTGTGTGACCACTAGAGGGTGCAGACAGATACAAGATAATAAAATATACATAAAAGTTACAGTGCAGTGTAAAATATGAATAGTTCAACTGCAAAAAGAAATTTCTTCAGCCTGGATTAAAAAAATGGTTTAGGATTCTTTAAGTGGTATTTTGCAGGTTAAGGCCGGTAGGCCCCGTTCAGTTCAATCTATCCATGTATGAAAGGAAGTCAAGACAAAATCGGTCCAAGTCTTTTTTTGACAAGCAACAACGTCTTGATGTGTTTTCCAGAAAAGGGGCTTTATTGGGCAAGATCAATTTGCTTTGTCTCTGTTTGGAGCATCAATGTTCCTATAGTCATCTCACTAACTTATGTCACGTTACTTCTCCAGGTCTTCATTTTCTTTGGCATGTTTTTTTTCTGTGTTTTCTTCAAATCCAGGTGGGTGCCTCTCAGTTTGCCAGCAACATTGGCAGTGGTCACTTTGTGGGTTTGGCCGGCACCGGGGCAGCGAGTGAATCACAGTGGGGGGGTTTGAGTGGAACGTAGGTCATCAAACATCTTCTTTAAAACACTGGATTGATGCATTAATTACTCTAAATCTACTATAAATGGCAGTATCACATGTAATGTAACACAAGTACTGTACATCAAATATTCACTGTTTTCACAATAACTTTGCACCGGCACACATACATGTAAAATATATTTAGTATATACATTTGAACAGTTACTTACCTATATATAATGATATTTTTAATTGTATTAATCTTGAATCTTGTGTGTCCTGTTTTTCAATCTCACCCTGTTGCTTATGAAATATTTTTTACGGTGCATATATGATCAGATGTATAAGTTGAAAGATACCAATAACTTGATTGTGCTCCTTGTAGTTTCTAAAAACAGCCATTCTCTTATCATACTATCGTTTGTATTTGGGCAAATGGTTGTTTTCTAAAATATAGTGAAACGTGTGTGTGTGTGTGTGTAACAGCGAAAGTCCAAAATGTTTTATCGTCACGTGGTTCATGGAGACTCAGATTGTTCCCGGAAGTTCGTGGCGGGCCATTTGAATGCATTAATAACAGGCGTGCCTATCAATGATTGTCAACTGACAGCACAATGAGTCAAAGCCGGACTAGCTGCAGCAGCATGATGATGTTTATGTGTTGTTTTAGGAATATCCATGTAAATAAATGGAATTCAATAAACATTGAATAGCATGTCATGCAGTTTGTCTGTGCCTTTTCCTCCGTGTTGTCCTGGCATATAGTCTCCCCCATGGTTTGCTGTGCTGCCTGGGGATGCTCCAATCGCTCAGAGAAAAGAGTACAAATGTACGGCTTCCCCACTGACACAGAGAGGAGGAAAGAATGGCTGGCTCAAGTCAGCAGGAGCAATTTAACTATCACAAAAGACAACAACAAAATATGTGAGGTAATCATATTTTTCACAAAACGAAGACCACACCATTGGGAAGCTTAATGTCTGGTTTAATAAAAATAAGGAACAGGGAGAGGCTTGCAAAACTCTGGGAGTTGAGACTCAGGTGCAGGGTGAGGGTCTCATTGCAGGTCTTCAGGCTCCATTGAATCCCCCTGGGGTTCTTGTGCTGAAAGAGGGAGACAAAGACAGGAGAAAGGGTTAGATACATCTATATAGCAACCTATAGGATGGGAAATTGCTGACCTATTTTAAACTTACCTTGTGTTTTCACTCTCACTTAAGTCCATCTCCCTTTGCCATCAATCCAAAATCAGCTGAGCTGCAACATAATACAGACAGGTAATAATCAACAGAATCACAAGGACATATGGCTCTGGTAAAAACACTCACCCATAAGTAGCGTTTTTGTTTACCGTTTGGAAGTCTCAAATATGCACTTTAAATCTATATCAATAGCAATGCATCACAACAATAGCTCTCTTCCTTATTATTGTGTAACGTTAACTATATTATACTAGCTTGAACTCCAAAATATCCTAATTTCACCACCTCCACCCACTACAATCACACGCACCAATGTTATATTTAACTCCCTCCACCCCGGATAAAAGCACGTTAAGAAGCCCTTTTTCTGTAATTCCACAACGTTGGATGAAATAACATTAGGAGAACGGATTAATAGGCTGTTCATGGTTAACGTGTGTTGCTTACTTTATCCGGTATCCTAGCCTAATCTGTTATCTGTAAACGTTCCCTAAATCAGTAGATTTAGGGGTAATCCACTAACATCCTTTAATACACATGTTAATTTGAGTCAGATGTGCTGATAATATCCGCAATATAAATCTTTAAACGTCTTCTTACCTTTAAAAGTCCATCACGAACGGTCTATTATGCTGCAACTCTACTGCGCTGCTAGCCTTGCCGCTAACTTCCGGGAACTATTGAGAGGCTCCACGATCCGCCATTGCTGTACACAAATGGTCCATTGGAGTAAACGGAGATCGTAACTCTTTCTATTAGGGAAACTCTATCTATTATAGGGCTCTGGGTATACCTACCATTTTACCTGACTACCCACCGTCATTACGCGAACCTTGGTGGTATACGTGGACTATGCCGAAGTCGGCTTAAAACAAAGAGTGTATCCATGTTTGTTAGTGTCTAACTAACATAAATCCTCATTTTCTGAAAAAGTCATTTTTTACCACTAAACCTGTTTTTGAGTGTATCCCAGTGTATAGAACAGCGCATCACATCGGTGGTCGGTAGCTTTGCAGTTCCATACACATTTGTGCAGTTCCTTACACATTTTTTTTATGCAAAAGGTCACATTTGGCGGGCTGGCTGCCCTGTGATTGGCTGGTTTTCCTGCGTGGGTGGTCCTTACAAACCACCTCCAAGATGCATGCTTGCTGCTGCGTTCAGTGCGTTCACTCCTGGAAAGACACATGGACAATGGAGCTACAATAGCCTACTTGATTAAACACAAACAGGTAAGCTTGCATACTTGTAGATATTGCTTCTTTTACATGAGTAAATGTAACCTCCATATTATTATTGATTGCCAGCTGATGAAATAGCATAATAGCACTAGAGCTAGCTGCACGTGCTTTAGAGTATGCTAGCATGTGTACATGTTTTTGTATTGAACTAGTAGCACCAGAGCTAACTGCGTGTGCTTCAGACTCTTGAGTATGCTAGCATATGTGCATGTTTTTGTATCGAACTAGTAGCACCAGAGCTAACTGCGTGTGCTTCAGACTCGGAGTATGCTAGCATGTGTAAATGCTAGGTAAGAGTAATGCTAAAGAAACAATGTCGGCAGCTGAAGTGTGTTTTTGTTTTTTGAGTCTCCGGTTTATTTATGTGATGTAAACATTGTATTTAACTTTTACATGAGTACGTGTAAACGTAACCTCCATATTATTATTGATTGCCAGCTGATGAAATAGCATAATAGCACTAGAGCTAGCTGCACGTGCTTTAGAGTATGCTAGCATGTGTACATGTTTTTTTATTAAACTAGTAGCACCAGAGCTAACTGCGTGTGCTTCAGAGTATGCTAGCATGTGTACATGTTTTTGTATTGAACTAGTAGCACCAGAGCTAACTGCGTGTGCTTCAGACTCTTGAGTATGCTAGCATATGTGCATGTTTTTGTATCGAACTAGTAGCACCAGAGCTAACTGCGTGTGCTTCAGACTCGGAGTATGCTAGCATGTGTAAATGCTAGGTACGAGTAATGCTAAAGAAACAATGTCGGCAGCTGAAGTGTGTTTTTGTTTTTTGAGTCTCCGGTTTATTTATGTGATGTAAACATTGTATTTAACTTTTACATGAGTACGTGTAAACGTAACCTCCATATTATTATTGATTGCCAGCTGATGAAATAGCATAATAGCACTAGAGCTAGCTGCACGTGCTTTAGAGTATGCTAGCATGTGTACATGTTTTTTTTATTAAACTAGTAGCACCAGAGCTAACTGCGTGTGCTTCAGAGTATGCTAGCATGTGTACATGTTTTTGTATTGAACTAGTAGCACCAGAGCTAACTGCGTGTGCTTCAGACTCTTGAGTATGCTAGCATATGTACATGTTTTTGTATCGAACTAGTAGCACCAGAGCTAACTGCGTGTGCTTCAGACTCTTGAGTATGCTAGCATATGTACATGTTTTTGTATGAACTAGTAGCACCAGAGCTAACTGCGTGTGCTTCAGACTCTTGAGTATGCTAGCATATGTACATGTTTTTGTATGAACTAGTAGCACCAGAGCTAACTGCGTGTGCTTCAGACTCAGAGTATGCTAGCATGTGTAAATGCTAGGTAAGAATAATGCTAAAGAAACAATGTCGGCAGCTGAAGTGTGTTTTGTTTTTTGAGTCTCCGGTTTATTTATTTCAAGGTTCTTTATTGTCAATCTGACATAGCTACAGAGTAATTATGTAGTTGAAAATCTTATGTCACAGGCTTCTCCAACAATGCAACATAATAACATTTATTTGATGTAAACATTGTATTTAACTGGAGCTGAGGACAGGAGGTATGAACTATTACTCTTTTTCACAGCTACCATCAAAGTCAAGATGCAAAGGCGGAGACGGAGATGCATCAATCCAAAGGATGATGCCAAATGTTATATTGACACTGGAGGGGACAAAGCAGGACTTGACGTCCAATACATCAATGCCATCAAAGGTGAGTTTATTCTTCAGTTCTGACTGTTTAATCATGATTTAACTTAAAGTATAAACATAAAATATTTGACTTTAGTGTGCTATTTTTCTCACTTATTTGTTATTTGTGTTCCTTGTAGGTCAAGGCATCTTCACCTCTATACCATTTCAAACGGGAGACTTTTTGATAGAATATAGAGGTGAACTCATAAGCCAACAACAATGTGAGACGAGACTGAAACGTTATCCTGTCAGGCTCAAGGGGTTCATGTTCGAATTCCATTTTGATGGAAAACTGTGGTGGTGCGTATTATGTCAATGATAAGTCTGAGCAGAATGAATGAAGTTGGATTTTATTTTCACAGCTTAGCTAGCTGTTTTGAGTATTTTAATTGACTGTTTTGCAATGAAGTTTTACTTGTGTTTTTGTAGCGTTGATGCAGCAAAAGAGAATGAGTCTCTTGGAAGACTTGTGAATGACGATCACAGAAACCCGACTGCAAGGATGAAAAAACTATCTGTGCAAGGGAAGCCCCATCTTTGTTTGTTCGCTGACCGAGACATAAGTCCAGGAGAGGAGATCACCTATAATTACGGTGATTCAGACTGGCCGTGGAGATGCAAGGTGGTCAACATTTTACTTGCTCTAACCATCACACCACATACGTAAATGCTACATATTGTCCAATGCATTAGTTTTGATTATGATTATTTCAGTATAAATATCATTATTTTTGTTATACTTCTGATACAGTGAAACATAACTACATGGTGTTTATTGAAATGTATATCTGAATAACTTTAATTTCATGTTACTACAAGCTATGGATGGTTTAGAATCTTTAGGTACATGGGAACGCACCATCCAATAATAATAATAATGTTTTTGTGTGTGTGTGTTTGCATCTTGCAGGGTCTTGATGAAGTGATGCCTATCGAAACCTGTGGGGCCACATCTCCAAATGAGAACATTGAAGAGGTATTTTTACATTTAACATATATTTAATATCTCAAATTGATGTTTTGTGGCTTACAAAAGGATCCAGTAAGGTTTTTAACTAAGTTTTCCTTTCATTCTTTCTGTCATCAGTAGGACCATTCTTTTATTCAATTCCAAATATTCTCTGATAGTACATTTCCGACTTTCTGTTTTATTGATCCTTCTCTGTGTTTTATCTGCTACAGATGGTGACTAACAGCGACTGCACTGAGACCACTGAGAGCTACACGAAGACGACAGGTCAAGTGTTTTCTCCCCTCAGCAGAGCCGAAAAGGTACATTACATTTAAATACTACTTGATTTTTATCTATTGACACACCGACATGTTTCTTTGGGCTGTGTATGCAGTAGTCTGAATATCATATGGTTTATAGAGACAATGGTGTGTGAGGACATTGCCTTCAAATGCTTTTCAAAGTGTAAGTCATGACTGTAACTCATATTTGCACTGCCTGCATGTGATCTGTATGTTAAGTTGTTCAGTAAGTAATGATAAATGTAATCTATAGGGATGGGTATCGTTAAGGTTTTAACGGTACTACTACTTTTATCGATACCGCTTATCGGTCCGGTCTTTTAACGGTACTCTTATCGGTTCTTTTGGAGAGAAAAATGAGGTAAACTAACTATTATGTATGTCAGGGACTATGGATGGAAATTAGCTCAAAGCTAAAATCCGGCATATTTACACTTGAAGCATTATTTGTCTAAAGTGTTCATTAATGTGCATTGTCCCTATTCAAATAAACAATTAAATGAAAATTAACAAATTGTGAACATAACTAACATTGCTTTTTATTTAAATGAAATACATAATATTTCACATCAACAGAAGCAACAACGTTTTAACAAATCATATTAAATAATCTGATGACAGAACTGTGAACAGAATGGCTGAAACTTTAACAAACTAAATAACTCAGTTACCTCTAATCATTAACCCATGTTTGAATCATTGAGTTAGCTCCGTGTGTTGCTGCTAGCATACATAATATACCTGACGTGGAAACGTTACTCGTGGATGGGGCTACAGAGCTACTAGAGAGACAGTCAAACCCGGTGCATTTCTCCGTCTGAACGTGGTGCACTTTTGCTAAATGTTTAGACAAATTGCTCGTGTTACCGCCCTTACATGCTAAACTCTTATTGCACTTTAGGCAACGAGCGAGACGGGTAAAGTTTAACCACACCTCGGAGCGCGTTCTCTCCGCCATCTCCTCCGTGTGTGTGTGTTGCTGCATGTAGCAGCTGCGTGTGTGTAAACTGCCCCGCCCCCTCGCACACAGACGGGGGAGAGAGATCTCTTGTCTGGATTGGAGAGATCGAAAATACAAAAAATGACGCATTTTGCAGTCTTTTTGCGTATTAGAAACGGAGTTGGCGACACTAAAACTGCAATATAATGTTTGTGTAGCAATAATACACATGACATATTTTTTAGATGTCTCCAGTACCGATAAAAAGACCAATAACGTCGGAGCTTAACAGTACCACGGTCTTTAATAATTCAGCCCCGGGGCCCGTTTAATACCGGGGCTCGGTACCCATCCCTAGTAATCTATGACAAGAGATAATGTAAACTAAATATAGTATATCCTGAATTCCTGAGTGTGAAAAGTGGGTTTAAGGATTATACTTTTCATCACCTAAGACCTGTAATCATTTGGCCTGTCGAGTGAATGCAGAACGGCATTGGATTTCAGAAACACAACCTAGATGCTTTCATATGTCTTGAGACTTGTAAAAGCAAATGTTATTAAACATTGATTTTTGCTATTAAAGGATTTGCTTTAAGTAGATGTCAACATGTCAATGTGAAATTGTTGCTGCTCAAAAATAAAATTGTTACATTTTGCCAACAGCATTGCTTGAGGATCGCAACTGTATCCTCATTGGACAGGTGTGTTTCCTGTGTGGGACCTGTGTCCTCCTCCAAGTGGCTTGGATATGAATGCAGAGGTGAGATAGTCATGTATGAATTTGCAGTAGTTTGGTATACTTTTTAGAATGATACACCTTGGGAAAGGTATTCCTAGTTTACACCATTGGCTATATATATATAAACTGTATTAGTGTAATGCTGCGTACAAATAG